CCCCCCCACACACACACACACACACCCCACCTAATGAATGATTCATGTGAAACTTAACATAAAGTTGTTTTATTTTGTCTGAGAGTTCTGAATGACCCCAGTGTAACATCAGCAGGCCAGTCCACTCGGGCTGACGTGATCTGGTTTACAGCTGAGCAGGGTCTTAGTGATCCAAACTCAGTTCTGGTCAGGGACCCAGATCACACACTTTACACACAGTTAAAGGAAAAGAAAATCAGAAAACTCAGAGGCTTGCTACTAAAGGCAGTAACACAAAAMCACTCTAACCTTTCCATAATATTCTCTCTGATCAGTGGGTTAAAGTTTCTCTTTGACTAGTTGGTTAACAGAAGCTCTCTTCTACAAAACAACATTCTTACCCAGATAATAAATAAAAATAACTAGAAGCACTCCTCCGCCAAGGCCATAGGGTCAATTATGCTAAACGGATCCCCCTCGGAAAAGTGACCTATCCAATGCTTTATAGTAAATATAGTAACATCATGTTGCATGTATTCATGCATAAAAGTAAATGATGGAAATCAAAWTTTTAATTTATTCCAACATATTTATCAGAAAACACATGTAGAMYAAAAATATCATAACACTGTMTCATTCCAAATATAATCAGACATATTATGTACCCATACAGTAAAGGTATCATATAAAAAAGTTTCCACAGAAATGAACATTAGGATTAAAGTTTAACAAATTATTCACACTATCGTGGTGAGAAAAATTAGTGTGATGAACTTTACATCTGTACTTTCCCCTATCCTGCAATAGAGAAGAATACTTCAAAAAAATTCACCAAAATTTAATGGTGTGTTCCTTTGGCCAGTACCCACCTGTGGTAAAACATTTCATGAAAATCCGTCCGTGAGCTTTTGAGTAATTTTGTCCACAGCAGACAGACAGACAGACAGACAGACATACGCGACCAARAACATAAGCTCCTTGGCGGAGGTAATAACATTAAGAAAAAATATTGCACATTTTGTTGTCCACCTACATCGTACCCACTGTAGCAGCTGACTCCATATTTATGATTGAATCTACTGGAGGGCACATTTGGACAAGTTTTTAGGAAGCAGTTTGTCTTTTAAACCTTGACCTGTTTCTGTCAGAGCTCCTGTGTTGGTGTCAAAATGCAGCCCTGGTTCTCTTGAGGACTTTGTGATGACTTTTGGGGGCAGAACTGCAAACCGCTGACACTCAGATGAAGCCTCGAGAATATTTTGTGACGTTCTGCCTCCTTTCCAACAGTCCCAGCTGAGTGAGATCCTGCCTTTAATTCAAACGTTAAGTCTCTAGTTTTTATTGGAGTTAAAATAACATGTTAAAAATGTTAAATGTTAAAAGAACAGAGATCTTACTTGAAATTTTCAGAACTCTTTTCCTTTTTCCATAATATGAAGCTGTTATTTCTGAAATCAGGTGATGAGGTTTTGAAAAAAGCTGATCACTCTTTATGTTTTGTATTATTTGCATCTGTGTTTCATTCTGTTCAGACCAGGAGTGACACTCTGACCAAGTCAGAACG